ATTATTTAAAAAGACAGCTGTAAAAAATTTTATCTGTAAGCTTTTATCCAAGATATCTAACTATGTAAGTTATCTAACATTTATCGACCCGTATTTTTTCTTTTTTTTACACAATTGCAATTTGTAACATGTAGATTTCAAAATATTTTACATTTCACTAGAGCATCCTAATATAGCGTGATTCATTATTTTCAATCGTATACGAACTTGCAATTAGACGATCTAGTGCAATATGGCTTTGATCTAAACGATCATTCAGGCAATCAGAAGATCAGAGCATCAGAGCCGAGTCACGTGTGTAAGTTATTCCCACTGTTAGTCCGATAACTCGAAATGCATTTAGAAGATTCTTCGAAGGTACGCATTCAAGGTCAAACGCAAGCAGGGAATTTCGAGACGGTCTGACACTTGACCGATATCGATATTTATCACGTTCTTGAAATGCGTACCGATCTAGCCAATACATATCACTCCGTGCGCATCCGTTTGCCCCTATTACGTCGATAAATGAGAATGAGAGTCTCTGGCTTGCCTTGACGCTCCTTACAAATCGATTCAACTTCCATACGACTGTACCCCTTTCGATATATATATATATATATATATATATATATACACATACATACACATATATGTACATGCACATGTATGTACGATTATACTTCGCGACAACAAACCACGAACGCACATTACGTTCCATTTCCAGTGTATCGGGTTTGACCTCAGTTACTGACATAAATTACACGAATGAGGGAGCATGTGTGCTCCAACCTATTTAATACTTTGCCTGCCACCAACTTGCAACGATCATATTTTCCTCCTTCTCTCCACATTTTGCAACTACACGATGGTGATTTAATTCAAGCAACAGTGGTTCAATTCTAGAGTGAAGAAGTAGAGCTTAACTGGTGAAATTCTACCGGAAACAGCCGGATGGATATCTCGTTTTATTCGCGAAATTTTTCTAATCATTCAAACTGTGTATGTTCATCTGTAACATTGCAGCCGCACTGTCGGCTGATCGATTTCCTCCGTCAACTGTTTTTTTCCGATTAAAAATTTCAATAGATTGGCGGGCACGTGGATGTGAAGAATTCTGACGAGAACGTCGGAAGAACACTTTTTCGAAATATCGCGATGTTCGATTATAACGTCGATCTACGATTAATCTTGAATTTGTAATACCTTCGTTTAGCAATTTAGATAATTCTACTGAGTACACTACGTGGTGGGTGGTCGATGACACGCGCGACATGGAATCCCCGTTGACGTTGCTTTAAAGGCAGGACCCGTATACTGAATAATAATTAATATAACGTTTCCCACTTTTCAATCTGTTGCAAAACATAGTTGGACATTCTTTATTTCGTATCGAAAATAATGCGTGGAAAGGCAAACTGTAATAATCAAAAAGAATAACAAACGAATGTATTTTTAAATAAAATAAAATTAATTCTAAAATCTCATTTTCAAATAAATTGCTTGTCGAATGTTTGATGATTACAAATTCAATACAAATACAATAAAAGAAAAAAAAACAAGAGATAACAAATAATTGTTGCACATAAGAAATATCTGCTAGCATGATATTGAAACATTATGTACAAAACTGAACGGACCTGAACTTGCTATGAAAGAAGATAGTAAATTAACTACCATATTCACATATAAAAGTATACTAAGATATATTTTTGCTGCAAAAACAAAAAATACCGCAGAGTTTATAAAAATATATAACTCACATTTATGAGTGTTTTCTCAGGTGGCGTGGGGCACGGCAGTAATGGAATTGCAGAGCTGGCTGCTCTATCATCTTGTAGCCGTAACCGACTGCAATCAAGGTACACAAATGTTAACTGTATGATGCTCTGATTCGTTCCCAGGAATAAGAACACAAGCACAAACGCATTTGCACGATCCGCGCAATGCAACATCATTCTATGTATTGCCGTATTTTAATTTATTTGACGTAACATCTTCTTTATATATATGTATATATATATGTATATTGATTCGTTTTACATCGTTGCTCATTTTAGTTACTTTTGCCTGAGTTTCAACCGTGCTCACAGAACACTTCTTTATTTCATTCACAATCCCGTTATCGCCTAGAGGAAACAGCGGTCTACCAATGTTCGATGGTAAGTTCTGATCATTCACGCACTATCATTTTCACTTGTTTTTGATCCTGATAAATCCATAAGATATCACGTGTCATGTTGCTTCAACTAGGATACATGTGTCGCTGCAGGACACAGCGATGACACTAAAATGGCTAAAAAAAAAAAGTTTGTAACGTAAATTTTATGAATTAAAAGGAAGGCATGTATCTGAAAATGATGATACAAATTTCACCTGTTCAATGTACGGTCGTGTTAAATTTCTTGCGGGTGTCTACTTCAAATAGTATATTATCAGTTGCATCATTCAACTATTAATGATATTTATTATGTTTGAGAATGTACATAACGTCATGATGAATCTCAGAAGTTGTAAAGTATTCGTACCTCCATAGCACTTGAACACGTGGAACAGTCAACTTACAGACTTAATCTTCCCAACGCACCCTGTGCCGCATTTTTAACAACTCCATCTTTTCATCTGACAAGAGGGGCATTATTCGACCCCATATCTCTCCCCGAGCAGATGGTAAAGCGCTTGCAATTTTTTCTTTTCCCTGCAGTGATGCAGTCGGCGACTACATTGAACGGCGGGTCTTATCCTGCCGGAGGCACCGGAAGCCGCGCTCGTGATTTAGGTCTTCGAGCGCAAAAAAAGCTCCTCGGCAGAGTCGTATCTACGGGGGCCGGAAGATCGTTGCTGATAGATGACGCCACCACGTCGCTTTTGGACAATTTGTACAAGCTTATGGAGAGATCAGCGAAAGCCAACCACAGCATAGATAAGAAACAGCCTGAAAAGGTTTTAAAGAATATCGTTAAACTGTCTATCAAGGTACTTGTTCCAACCTTCGATGATCGTTGACACAGATATGTGTCTCGTCTTCTTCAACAAGGTTCAATTGGCCTTTCATCTCTCATGTTCGTTAAACACTTGCGTTCTAGGTGGGCCTCTTGCAACGTAATCAACAATTGAACGTCGCCGACGATGTGAAACTCGCCGAAATAAGAACTGCCCTACGAGCCGTAGCGATGTCCGTCGTCTCGTTCTACGAACTGGAATTCAGCTTCGATCGGGGCTACTTGATAAAGTCGTTGGAACGATGCAGGACCACGATACAGGCGCTGATAAAGTCGCATCTTACGGACAAGTCTCAAGACCGGTGTGACCAAGTGTTCGATTTCTTAACGCATTCCGACTTTCTGGACTCCGTTTTCAGACAAGACTCGGAACACAGACCCATCCTCGGGATGCTAGTCAGTGACATAAACAAGGCCTTGGACGTTGGGCATCTTTGATTCTTTTTCAAGCGCGATCGAATTTTCGCGGCGGAATTACCGAGATAATTAAGGGACGACGATGACTCTCTTTCTTGGATTATTTTTTCAAAAAAAAAAAAAAAGAAAAAAAGAAGAAAAAAGGAAAAAAAATAGAATCGACGTATGTGTATGTGTGGTACCAAGTCACTTATGATCGTCTGTGTAAAAAAAAAAGAAAAAAAAACATAATAATATATTTTCGACTCGAGGCTCAACGCTCTTGAAATGCGACGTTTCTCGTGAGAATATTGATCGATTTCAACACAGTAGTGCTCACCAATTTACGCAATAATTGTGAAATACTCTATTTATTTTCAGAATGTATATTGTTACGATCAATGTATATTTATTTACAACACTTGTGCGTTAGGATACCAATTATCAATCTATACCAAAAAAAAAAAAAAAAAAGAAAGAAAGAAAAATGAGCTTATTTATGCCCGAAAATGGGTTTATAGATAATTACGGTAGAAGCGACTTCGTTAATCCCGACAGAAGGGCACGTAAAAAAAGCAATTTGTCATCATTAGAGATACGTTCTCCTAAGATACTTCTTTTAAAGGTATAATCTTTCACTCGTCAGAGCTATATTCTCACATATCGACGGGTCTATAAAGACAGATTGCCCTGTGTTTTTATTCGTATTGTGCGCCTCTGTACGTTTTCGACATACATAATACATACAACATATCTAACACAGTCATGGCGAAGCCTCAACAATTAATTTGAACATTTACATCATATGTACTATATCGTAGTATCGCGTGTTTTGTATACATTGTACACTCTTTACACGTTATTGTGATGATTCTACATGAAATAAGAATCTTGTATTGAGATATATATACATACATACTATTAATAAATTATTTGTAATGAGACGAAAATCTCTCTTTTTCTCTCAATATTCATTTTTAGTTTTGACCAAAGAAGAAAAATCGAGATAAACGCAATGAGTGATTAGCGATTTGATATATTTATTTACATAGATTGTTTAATGCACACACGCGCACACATACATATAAAATTAGTGTAATTTGTTCAGCAACCAAGTAGCACTGCCTGTATGAAATATTTAGCATTTAATATCTTAAATGAAAGTGATAGAGAGAAAAATAACGTAGCTTCGTGTTATAATTTATTCTAGCAAAATGTATATATATTTGCTTATAATCGTTACAATAGTTTGATTAAAAAAAAAAGAGAGAAAACAACAAGAATAATCTAATTTATAAGAAATTTATATATATATATATATATATATATATATGTATATATATGTATATATATAAATTGCATTAGATATTTTTTTTTAACAATAAAGAATGTAATTTTTAAAATAAATTTGAAGAGAGCTTATAAGGAATTTATATACTGTCCGTATATTCTTAACGTAACTGGTCAATAATTTTTGAAAGGATGTTTTACTACAGATCTAATAACAACCATACAGAACATAGTATATGATAACTTAAATATATTCTTATATACAAAAAAGAAAAAGAATACATACACGCATTATACATTTTACAGCAAAAAAAAAAAAAAAATCAAAATCAATTGTTAAGAGATACAAGGACAATTGATAAAGTCGCTCTAATATATTATAATTTTTTCACAAAATCTTTTCATAATATTCATTTGATAAGCATAATATACGAAAAAATATTTTCTGACACAATAATAGTGATTGTACCTGTACAAAACTCTTTTATAACTTATACATATAGTTTAAGTATAAAAATTATTTATTTATTGTTCCTATTGCATTATTTGAGTTAAAATACACGATACTTAGATTTGTTTCATTTAAGTGACATTAGTATGAAAATTAGGACGTTTTAACATGGACAATAGCTGCTCACTATTACTTAAAAATTTTATATGAAAAACAAGAAACTTCGTGAATTACGTGTAATAATTATAATCATTGTTAAAATGTATAACCCGAAATGCACGAAATAAGTGAAGAACAAAATTAGTGGATAGTTTGTAGCATTGTTTTATAATATTTTGTTTGTAGTATTTGTAGTAAAAGTACATGTGATAATCGTGTATGATATTCAATGTATTCGTTCATTATGCATGATCATATACATTCGTACAATCTAATCATGAATTTATAAATACAACACACATTTTTATTTATCATATAATGCAATGACTTTATGAATATATGTTAACAATTTATAATCTGTTAATGTAAAAGTACACAGAGTATAGTTTGTTATCATATATTAATTGCAATATACTAATAATTCAATTACTTATTGTTTACATGTCAACAATTTCTTGATTCATTGAAATGTTCTATCTTAAGTATTGGAAATGCACTTGCATCATTTTACTGTATCAACAAATTTAATATGTAAGACAGTGACAAACATAATAGTGAACTTGATCACTTAAGTACACCACAATTCAAAAATGATTCATTCTAAAAATTAAATATAAGTCTGTTTACAATCAAACGTATAAAATAGTTATGCACAATTAACATCATTATAATAACATACCGTTTGTTCACCAAAGATACAATCTGTCTCAAGACCATATAGACGATGTTTGCAAAAGTTAAAACTTGATGAAGAATGTGTTATAATAATCTAAACATGTTCTTTTCTGTAATATACATTGGCTAACGTCTTTCAGATTTGTCATCTTGTGTTTACACTCTCAAAAGAATAAATATTTATATACTTCACAATTGGTTAAGAAATGGATACAACCTTTTAAAGATAGGGGAAACAAAAGTGATTCATCAGGTTTTTTCTAAAAATTCAATCCTTTCTCATACATTGAGACAATGTCAGCGAATAAAATTAGAAATTACGTAAATGCGTGTTACTTACTTTTAACAATATTACATGTTTTTACACTTGTTAAATATATAACTTAATCTCAAGCACTTTGATGAGATATTCCCGACATATTTTTATGGGACAGACTGTACTTTGATGAAAAATTTTTCGAATTGTACATAAGAAACACATTAATTACAGATTGTGTACCATTATTTGTAATTGCAAATGTGCACAGCTGATATTCTTGAATACCTTCATATCATAAAGTTGTGTAATATATGAATAATCAATTTGATCAAATTTGAGCAATTACAATTCAAAATATTTTTACTGTATCTTTGCCCGCTTCAAATACAAATTGTTACAATTAATAAATTTAACATTACTTATAACAATATTAACAAAAAACATAACTAAAAGACTTAATATTTATAAGTTAATAAACTGAATATATTTTTAAATTTTCCATTTAACAAAACGATAATAATTGCCATGCACACTTAAAAGATACTGTTTTAAAAGTTAAGTTGCATTGGTCAAAATTATATATGTTTGACGTTCTAGTATGTGATACAGAAATACATTATAAAGGCTTTAATAGATATTATTCTTCTAAAATAAGTTTTTTGTAACAAATATTCATTATATATTGTTCTACTAAGGCCAGTAGTAAAATTTCAACTTTATAGATTGCATCTGAGAAACTTAATGTTCATTGCAGTGTCATTCGTTGATTACTTTTTAAATTTTCATTTCTATTGTACTGATGTAGAAATGTACAACACAGATTAAAATGGTTTTAAAACTCATACTGTATGCAGATGATATAAAGATTTAAAACTTTTAAAGTGTTTTTCTTCAATATTCATTGGTACATTTTTCTTTGTAAGATTTTCATATAATAATTTATTAAATTTCATATACAATAAATAATACAAGAGCAAAATTTCATATTAAAAGATGAATAAAATTAATTTAACAAGCTGATAGTGAATTCATAAAATAGGTCACATTGATTGTAAAATTAGTATTTACCATATTTTGGTTTTGAATGCAACAATGGTTTTTAATACATTAAATTTAGCTTTCCCACACTGCATACAAACATGCTGATATACTTGATTAGTAATATAAAATAGTTTAATGAAAATCACTTTCAGAGTTAAATATATGACTGAAATGATAAAATCGAATATTTTTATTTTTATCACTTATTTCTTCAGGCAGTTGAGATATATACACCTCTAATTGTAAGATGTTTTGTCAATATTTGCTACTTTCTTATTTATTCATGAAGTATAAAAATCTTTGATAAGTATATATCCTAAAATTTTAATATCCGAATATAATTTTTTACTTAGTTTCTTATATAATAAAATCGGAAAGAAGTGAAAATATAAGATGATAATGATCAGATAATGTTCCTTAATTCTAAAATAGGTGTATATACCTCCTGAGATAAAATTTCAATGATGTTTAGTTAAATGTACAACTTATAATTACTTACGTAAAATCGATACGGTAGTTTAATTAATTAAAATTAATTTTATTGCCATAATCCTGCATAGTTACCATATAGATTTACGGGAAGAGGACCACCAGCGGTGAATAATCGAGTTCCTGATCCATCATAGCAATGGGTATATATAGCAGGTGTATACTTCACATTTTGAAATCCATCTATATACTCTTCGTCAGGGAACTAAAATTATCACAAAAGCAAATATTACATTTACATAAAAGTATCATCATTCAATTTCAAATAGTTGTCTTTGCGAATCTAAAGTCTTTAATACCCGATATATCAGTCAAGTAACTAACTGTATTCAAATACTTAGTATACTTAATAAATACAAGATAAATTTTACTTGATTACAAAATTACATAATGACATATTGTAGATTATTTTAATTAAAATTCAATAACGTAAAATTTGAATTTTAGTTTGTGATTATTTTAAACAATATTCGATTTAAAATGTGCTCTGAGTTACTCGAAATTTCGTAAATTGCGCATATTCTTACCACGTATCCTTTTGATGCCTTTAGTACAACAATTCTGTTAGAATTAATTGATGACTCCAGATATTTTTGAGCCCTCACATCATAAAAGAACATCATTCCTAAGCCCGTACCAATTGTTAAAACGGAACCTTGAAAACTAACTGATCGAATTCCACAACCGCTATATCTATAAAGAAAATATGATTTAGTACAATTTACAGTAAAGATCATTTGAGACAAATTTCAGGTAATCTAAAGTAATTGGAATTAGTTCGCTTACCGCGAAGGTATTCTTTTTATAGGTTGTACAGTCCTTGCATCTAAAAGTAAAGTATAAGAACGACATCCTACGGCATAGACACCATCATCTTGCACAGCAAGGCAAACATTTTCCTGACAAACTGGTAGTTTTCTAGATATTTTTTGTCTAAAAGTCTCAGCAGACCAGATGTGTATAAAATTATTCAAAGTGATAGCAGCAATTTCTTTATATGTTCTATTGAAGACAAGAGCTCGTACTTTTTGCGCAGATCTACATTCTTTGACACATACAGGTTGAATCAACCTAATAAAAAACATAATGTAGCATGCTTATAAAATATACTTGTTACTTATATTTTATATAATACAACCTGTGTGTTGGCACATCCGCTTTGTCAGGAGCTTCAGCAAGATCATTATCTATACGCCATAAAGCCATTTTGGTATCTCTAGAACCAGAAACTAAAAATTCGTCATCTAACCAACACATATCAAAAATCCAATCTCTATGACCACCTTCTCCTACACAAACTGGATCTAATGTTGGTAGCCTATATATTGCTATTTCATTACTATTTCTTGCCCCAGTCGATAGGAGAGTCCTACAATATATGCAAAATCATAAATTGCCACGATTGTGAATTTTAAATTTAAATAAAAAATATTTTATCTGTATGTACCTGGAAGGATTGATTTGAACAGAATGTATACCACATTGCTGTTCAGGAACAGCATTACCTCCTGAATTAATTTGCCTTCCATGTAGAGATGGTATTTGGTCTAATTTCTGAGTTGCTACATCATAAACCATCAATTTGTTGCATTTTGTACCAAACACTACTTGCCTATCACTTAACCATTGAGAACAAAAGACTTTATTCATATTATTTAAGCTAACTGAATATTCTTTAAATAAATCATGAGTCAATATGTGTCTAAATCCATATTCTTGATTAATTTTCCTCACTTCTCTTGTATTTGTTTCTCTTGCACGTACATAGTCCACGAAATTGAAAGAAGTTCTTAGAAACTGTTTCCCTTCACTTACAGTTTCTGCTTCATCATCACTTGACTCGTAACATATAAAATCATCTGGCTTGTCTGATTTTCGGTTTCTTTCCAGCCTTAAGGCTAATCTAAATTGAATAAAATTATATATAAATAATAATTTACGATATAAATTAAAATACAAATTTTTCAATCAATTTCCTACATCAACATTTCTTATGATTTACCTTCGAGCACGACGTTCTTCCAAACGATTTCCACTAGCACATGGAGGATGTCTACCATAAACAGTCATTCGCTGCGTTTCAGCCATTGTGTCTGAATTTTATAATTTACTAATTAATTATATATTAGGATACTTAAATGCTCTTGCATATGAAATATATTTACGTGGCTGGTGTGCAGTGAAACAGTAAGAAATTATATATCTTGGCAGCAATTCTTCTCTGACTGAAACAAAATCAGGTTCCAAATTTTTTTCCCTTGCTTCCGTGCGGCAATGAAAGTATCTTGTTCCCGAAGATTTTCGGTTACATTTATAAATATTTACATTTTTGTGATTATTCATGAAATGTAATAAACCTTACCAGGACGGCAAATTGCCGAATCTATCGTGCTGTCTGAGCAACACTTTTCGGATAATATCCTCTTATCAGATGCACGGCTTCATAATTATATAAATTGCGTGCACTCACGTATGATAATATGAACATCAAGGCTTCGTATTTAAATGATACAAGGAAAGAGAATGAAAATCCATGAAATTCATGATAAGCAATGAGACCTTTGTAGCACTAAGCAACTAACCATCGCCATATTGAAACGAACAGCATAGCCGTAGAAAATCTAACAAAGCATACTGAAATCTCTTGAACATGTCGTTCGAGATCCTTTCAAAATGATTTTCAGAAACTTCTGTATTTGGAGTAATTACAGATGGAGAAATAGATTTTTGGACAGTCGGGAAAATCGAAGGGAGCAACTTCCATCAATTGTCAACAGGAGCAGTTTACCCCCTCTACTGAATTTTATTACAGCTGACATTTTAAAAGAAATGGCGTCCTTCAAGAAAATAAATACCAAAGTATTCGCAAGACCGAATTCCGAGTTAACCCCGGACAATATATATTGGAAGAAGTATAGCGTAAGTATGTTATGACGTCAAAAACAATTTAAATTTTTCTATGATTATATTGTGTCATTAATCTACAATTCTCACGTATGTGTCAGACATAACCTACAAATAAATAGTGTTTAAGATGACATGTTTAAAGGTATTGTAAAATTTAAATTTGTAAAAGTGTCGTTGTGTCGTTTATTCAACAGGCTCCTGTTTTAGTGAAAGAATTTGGACCAATCGATTATATCGATTTTTCACCGGTAGAGCCACACTACTTCGCTGTCACTTGTTCAGTGAGGGTACAGGTGTATAATCCAATCACAAAATTAGTTACAAAGAATCTTAGTAGATTTAAAGAAGCAGCTTATGGTGGATCATTTCGCAGTGATGGCAAGCTACTCTGTGCTGGTGGTGAAGAAGCAGTAATTAGACTCTTTGATGTCAACACAAAAAGTCTTCTACGACTGTTTTCTGGACACAAAGCTGCTATACACAGGACTTTCTTCACTACAGATAATCTTCATATTGCTTCATTCTCTGATGATAAGACTGCAATAGTTTGGGATATACCAAGTGAAAAACAATTAATATCTTTTAATGAACATTCAGATTATATCAGAGCTGGCGCAATTAGTCCTATTTCCAAGGATATATTATTATCTGGTGGCTATGATAAACATATATATATGTATGATACAAGAACAAGCAAACAAATTCTCAATGTGAGTCATGAAGCTCCTGTTGAAAGTTTATTATTTTTACCCTCTGGAGGAATATTTTTATCTGCAGGTATGTCACTTTAAAGAAATGTAATATGTTTCTATAAAAAAATATTTCATTTATATTTAATATGATTGTAAACAGGTGGAACAGAAATTAGAGTTTGGGATGCACTTGCTGGTGGCAAATTACTTGCAAAAATTACTCAGCATCATAAAACTGTAACGTGTTTAAAGATAGCTTCGAATGGTCACAGAATTTTATCTGGCTCATTGGATAGGCATGTAAAAATTTATGACTCTGGAACATATAAAACTGTTCATTCCTTGGATTATCCAAATTCAGTTCTTAGCATAGGAATTAGTGTAAGAAAATTTTATATTTAATTATAGTTTATATTTTTAATTGTAAAACAAAAATACTAAACACAGTATTTATAATTGCAGTCAAATGATGAGACTATAGTTGCTGGTATGGTTGATGGTTTAATTTCTGTAAGAAGAAAAGAAGAAGAAGTAAAAAATGAAAAGCCACGACGTAAAAAAATATCATACAGACGTTCTGGGAAAAATTTACATACTCCTCAAGTAGATGTTGTTGTACACGAAGAAATGAAAGAAATTATGTCCAGACACGATACCTGTTTAAGAAAGTTCGAATATTCGAAAGCTTTAGATTGTGTCATGGCTAGTTATGTAATAAATAAAGCACCACACGTTACAGTTGCGCTTATGCAAGAGCTTATTAGAAGGCAGGGTTTGAAACAAGCTTTGAGTGGTAGAGATGGCAAGTCTCTTGTAAATATTCTTAAGTTTCTGAATAGATATGTAGGAAGTATTCGATTTGGAAGAGTACTGCTATATGTAACTAATGTATTAATGGGTAATATATCAATGTTCTTTCCATTAATCAATTTTTTTGCTGTAAAAAAATTGCATTTAAAAATGTATCTAACTCATTTGATTCTTTAACAGATATTTATGAAGATCATTTGGACGAACTTGCAGCAGAACCGCGAAAAATGTTTAGTATTTTAGCGGCGAAGTTAGAAGAAGAAGAGAATTTAATACTGACATTATCAGAATTGCAAGGAAAATTGCACATGATATTATCTGCTGCAGAGAATGTACCTCCTACACCAGTAAAAGATATCCAAACTTTAAAACCATCAAGTGCAGCTCAAAAAAATTTAATTTTAAGTATTGCATGAATATAACTTAATATACTATGAGTTACATATCAGAAAAAAGTTGTACATACATGCTTGTCATACATATTTTAATAAAATTAAAATCACATGATTTTAGTTTTGAAAATATTCAAATTATATGACATCTTTAATTGTGAATATAAATATTTCAAATAAATAGTCCAGAGAAGCGTTCATTTTTAAAATGCATACCATATATATGCATTATAATATATGCATTATAATGCATACCATATATATTCGTATAGTATAAATTATTAAGACGTATATCAAATTTTATTTTCAAAATCTAGAGTCTAAAATTGAATGCTATTAGTTTATTTACGAAATTTCTTTTTTGAGGCATTTTTGCCAGGCAGCAGAGGATGGTTTATGAGGCATTATCCATCCAATTGGTATGGCTGATGCATCACTGTCTGTGCTTATATACTTATCCCAAGCAGTTCTAAAAATAAAATAATCACAATATTTACATATTAAATTAAAATTAAATGCTTACAATAAAAAGTATATAATAATTTTTTACCTTATAGTAATAAGTTTGGTAAAATCTGTGTCATACTGGTCAGATATTATTTTCGTTTCGAACAGTACTTTTTCCCACTCATCGAAAAGGCTCCTTTTCTGTTTTTCAATTCTTTCTTCATTGTCATTCTTTAACATTAATCTTAGATTCTGTTCTTCTATAGAATACTCACGATCAAGCATCGACCATTGTTCTATTAATTTTGCTATAAAAGGTATATTGTGATGTAATTATATATATGTGACATTATTAAGATAATTATTATAAATAAATACCAATAATATTATTAAATGCTTTGTCAGCTGCTGAAGATAAATGTTCCCCTCTAGCTCTGGCAATATTGGCTTTAACATTTCGCAAATTTCGTAATTCTTGTAACAGTCCAAGATATTTTCTAGCATCGGTTCTTTTCCCTCTAACATCGAATAGAATCATATCTGCATCTTTACGTAAATTTTCCTCTTGTTTTTCTTTCTCTATTACAGCTTGTTCTTTCCTAATCCACGAATCAATTTGTGCATGCATACTTGCTCGTCTTTCCATTTTCATTAGTTTTTCGTTTTGCCACTTTTCTTTTTTAATTTTTTCTCTCAATCTCTTTTTCTTGCGTTTTTCTAAATCTTTTTTTAATTGATTTAAAAAATATTCATCTCTAATAGGCTTTAATAGCTTAACAATTTCTTCTTTTGCAGTGTTACAGATACTTATCTTTTGTTGCCATTCTTCTTCTGTCAAATGTTGACTATTTTTAAGCTCAGCACAAATTGTTTTCAATTTTTCATTTAATTTATACGCTGATGTTAGAGCATTTTTAGTTATAGCAATTTTAGATTTTCTGCATGTATTTCTCTGGTCATTTATATTATTAGGCTGATTAACTTCCAGGAGAAAATTTTCAATATCATTTTTGTCAGCTTGTCGTCTTCCCAGGTTAATTATTGATGTTGCATTCTCATTATTAGATGTATCAACTGAATAAATATAATTTTGGTATACATTCATATTGTAACTGGCGTTATAAATAGATTGAGTCATTGGATAAGACATATCATAACAAGGATCCCTGCAACTCTGTGTAGGATCCTCTAAACAATTTTGATTATTAAACATAATTGCTTGATACTACTAATTTGGAAAAATATAAAATATCTTAATACTATCACTTTCTTTACACACTAAATGATTACTTTAACTTGTTTACAAATCTTATATTATCTTAGATGAAAATATAGTTCTTTAAACTTTGAGTAATATTTTAATAAACACAGTAGGTTTTGCTTTTTAACACATTTCCATAATTTCTCCCTCTTTAGGAAGTTGAGCTTCTGCTTCTTGTAACACTTTCTCTGCTTCAACATAAACTTCAACCTCTTTTAAATCTTGTTCCGTGTCCAAAATTTTTTTTAATTCTTCGAAAGCTTTCACAAGACGTCGTTGACAATCTGGTACCATCATGAGAGACTCTTGAAGTACTTCTTCTTGTTTTTTTATATCATAACCGTCCTTATCTGTAATAAAATTAAAATGATATAATAATTATTATCCTTGGAATAAAAGACTTGTTATTGCGTTATTTATTACACTGAATATATTGAATATATCTACAAGTTTTATAAGCTATTTAATATCATTTATAAGCTTTATAATCAGTTGTTTAATTAAGTAGATATTAAGGAATAATAAATAATAAATAAAGAAAATACAAAATTGTCTGAATAAATAACACAGCTATTGAAAGGAATAATAAAATAATAGACTAATATAACAAATTCTTCGCATTTTTTAAGTGTTCTCACCCTGTTCTTTTAATTTCTGTATTCTTTCACGTTGCTGTGCTGCTTCTTTCTCATACGTGACTTTTTCTTTCGCGAGACGTTTCACTACTCCAGTTTTAATTTTTAGAGTTCTTATACGAGGATCAGACATTGTTTAAAACTAATATATTTTACCTCGTATGAAGAAAATGAAGCGTTTACTGATTAAACGAATTTTTCCTTATAAGGTAAGATGAATAGCTACAAATGAAATGAAGAGGAACTCTGTGGTGTATAGGTTATACCGATTGATAGCCGGGAACTGGTATTCCATTAAGTTATGTTCTTATGACATGAACTTATCGAGAATGTCGATCATTTCAATCGATTATTTAATTTACATTTAACATCTTTTGACTTTCAGAAAATAAAAATTTTTATGTTATAAAAGCAATTAATATAAAATTTATATTAAATAAAGTATGCATGTGATTTCCATTTCTTTTTTTTAACGAATATCATTAACGGATTTATTTACTGTTAAGCATTGTGTTAAAAGAGGAAACTTTTTATTTCGAATAATTTTAAATTGTTATTGTATAATTCTTAACAGTTATTCATATACTACATGATGAAACGTTCTTCCCTTAATATCTTCGTACGTATCGATAATAGTATAAATCATTGTTCTATAAATATATATAACAAGATACTAATAAATACGATGTTTGGAAGATGTAATAATATTGATGTTTTCTTAGAGAAAGGAATATATACAGATTTGACATCTTCTCAACAACAATTCGGAGCCTCTGATTTCGCGCCATATGATTTCAAACGTTCGAGACTTGCAGAGAACTTCAAACAGTATTGCAGTATATCCCCCCACACTTCCGCAGAAAAACGCTACATCGTGCCTGCATTGAAAGGTGCAGTGAAAGAAACAGAAGGGTTAATTGTGTGTCAGTTTGTACCTAATTTTCCGAGACATGTAACGAATAATAGTGACGAGGTTACAATGCAAGACGATATTTTCCCGGCTGCAGAGAAAATCCTATCCGACATCGAAAATGTGGTGAAGAAGAATCCGTCACTGTGAGTGTTTTCTTAGATACATTACGAGGGCGGAGTCTTTAAAAATATCTGTGAAATGTACCTCTAAATTCGTGGATTCAGCCCGCCACCGTGTTTATTGTACAGACGACGCAACGTTTCACGTAGCGTATTTTAATATTGATAAAATTACGTCGTAACATCATCGTTGTACGTTTTAATCGGACACGAGCACGTACGACGCTATGCAAAAGGTTTGCATAGTAAATACAGTATCAGTAATGTTGGTATCTGGTATTTACGATAGGAAACTGGCGCCATCGCGATTATTAAATCTTAATACTTACTATTGAACATGCTTCTCTTTTTTTGTTTTTTTTTTCTTTTTCTACATATGCATGTGTATATATGTATATGTGTGTGTGTGTGTATACACATATTATATATATGCCTTTATGTATATTGCAAGTGTGACATTATAATTGCATGCATCACTAATGTACCAATAACTGATAATGATAGTACATATCAAACTAAATTCAGACATATTAAAAATATATATTTATAGAAGTATATATACATATTTATATATTTATTCTTATATTTAGTCTTTATATTTTTAATTCATATTATTGTAACATTAAACATCTTTTTTTTAAATATGTTATCGCGTTTAATTATATTCAATATTAGTAATCATACTAAATTATATTTGATATTTTTTAAAGTCTTTGAATTTTTGTATTTCAACACATGTATTTTGTTTTAATAAGCAGAGAGAGTTTTTTTAATGCTTCAAGAACAACATTGTGACATTTTTTTGTATAATCTGCTCAGCTTGAAAAGTTTCTCCAACGAGCATAGAAAAATGCGACCGGATCGAGAAAATAACTCAATGGACGCAGAAGTACATTTTAATTTAATTACGTATAATCAAATGAACATACGCTTACGTTGAAAAATTGCTGCTGTTGAATCTTTTCACAGCAGCAGTTGATGTTTGCTGAATAGAAGAATCACAGTCGCTAACACATGAGCTAAAGCGTTGACCCGTTTGCAATTTCAGGAAAAGTTTCGAAATAATCCCCGCGGAAGACAATGAGAACAAATCACCTGTATTCCATCAGGAGGACTGCCTTGGGTTGGCGTCGTGGTGCGTGCAACCGCTATACTGCTACGCTTACCGCCGACTCTTCGAACTTCGACAAAATAAACACAGGCGCGAGGAGCCAAGCACAATAGCAAGATGGTTGTTGGGCGCGTTGTTATTGAATCCGGATGTTACAACATTTTGGAACATGCGACGAGAGCTGGTAAGGAGTCACAAATTGGAAGCATCCGAGGAATTCTTTTTCTCACGATTGGTGCTCTACCATAAGCCGAAATGTTTCGAGGCGTTCGCCTATCGACGGTGGTTACTGTCGTACATATTGAACAGTAAGGACGGACATTACGATCCAGAATCTGTGGAATCGCCACTCTGTAGGGAATTGGATATAGCGACTACGTGCGCGGACAGATACGCGAGCAACTATCACGCCTGGAGTCACAGGCGTCATGTAATTACTCTTCGCGAATCGCGTGGATTTGCTTACCCAACGTTGGAAACAGAATGGAAGAACTCACTGGCCTGGTGTCAACGACACGTGTCGGATTACAGTGGGCTTTCCTATCGACAGTTCCTGCTGAATAAGTACATGTTTGAGTTGAAGGAACTACCGAGGGAATCGTTTATAAAGTGGCCGGACGTCGGGGAGCAATGGAAAGAGGAACTATTTGCTTACATTAAATCGAACATCAGTGATACAGGGGACATGCATCAATTGCAGAGGTTATACGACTGGATGAATGCGGAATTCAGGGCGATAACTTCGTCGAGAAGGAGGCAACGTCAGACAACGTATTTCCGTGCTTTGTCATATTGGCTGGAGGAATGCCGTGCGAATGACAGTACCATTTGCACGTATAACGATCACGAGGCACTCTGGTGTCACCGTAGATTCCTAGCGTATCTTCTCTTGCGTTTCATGGCGTCGAATCATTCTTATCACGAGGATGAGACTTATGCCGACGGCCGATCTGCCGACGAATCGGCCGAGAGGAAGAATGTTCAAAAATCATTGACGAACGATGTGACCGTGTGCCATGATTTTCTCGTGCAAGCGTTTCGCGCGCGCACCAACAAGATCGCTGATCTCGCCATCAAACGAGATCAACACGAGAAGATGCTGGTCGAGAGGTTCTTTAAATTTCTCCAAAGTATTGGGTTTGAGATTAGATCGTGATCTTGTTGAGCCAAGGTTCTATTTTTGCACGGCGGATATACGCAACGTATGCGCAATAATCGACATGCATCGATATGCCACTGTAAAAAAAAAAAAAAATCACGCAATAACTCTCTTATTCTGTATTCCACGCAGACGTTATTCCTAGGCGTATTACTCTATCCACGAATTGTATCTCAATAGTGCTCTCTCGTCTGATCTGTTTGCGCGGCAAAACTCTGCACGCGTAAATCAGTGCTGTCCACGAGAGGGATCCCTTGTACGACTTTGTCCCCCTTTATGTGTCATCGTTACGAGAGGAACGACAGCTTGGTAAGAGATGAGATATGATTTCTTTCTCTTCCCAACTCGCTTTTAAAACAAACGGATATAGGCGAGAAACTCGTGTTAGTCGCGCGCGTATGTAGCACACGAGAGACAGAGTCAGAGTCAGAGATATTCTTCACGCCCTGGAGTTGAAGTTGGACAGCACTGTTGTATAAATGATGTAGAATCATTTACGATAACAAGCAAGATCTAATGTACAATGTAGATGAAAAATGGAATGAGTATCGATACTTATTTTTGAGACATTTACCGTGTATTGTTTAAGGGAATTTTCAATAACCATGCACGATGTGTCGTATCGTGATAATCGACGAAGAAGAATGAGATACCGGATGTTGGGCAACGTTTGATTTTCTAAGCGTTGTTCTACGGTTGCGTGCTGAGAAAGAGAGAGAGAGAGAGAGAGAAGTGTCTTGAGGCTATAGGGAAATATTATCACGCGATAAATATATGTGTATAGTCGAACGTTGATAAAGTATGAGATAAAAAAAAGAAGAAGAAGAAAAAAAATGTTAGTTTTGTAACCATGTGTTTTTAGTCACCTTATATAGAATAGCGGAGGTCCGCGAATGCAGAACATTTACATCGTCAGGCCAATTGTTTTAATACCACTAATACGTGTGCGACATTGGCCACGTTGTCCTCCTTTGGCACGACAATCTGACCAAAAATAAACCTTTGGGCTTTTGACTGAATTTCTCTTCAGTCTATCGGGAACGGTCGTTGAACGCGCGTGATCGTCAGATTTTTCGTCCACCAAGTCCTATAACTTTCGTTTCATTGTTACATGTTAATAAAGTTCAGTGAACCCTGTCGACAACATTTTCTTGTCTTTTCGTTCACCGATGCAACTCTGCCCTTGCACATGCATACAACACATGCATACTTGCCTTGAACACGGTTTCTCATAAAACGGACTTGGCCCTAATGCGACGTTCCACTTGTCTTGGCCTTAATCTTCCAATGCCCTTCAACTCTTAGAATTCACACGCGCAAGAGAACATAAAATCCGCGGGAAGTTGCACGTTTTTAACGTATCAAGCTAGAAAACGTAAACGTTTCTTCGATGCTTTTGAAGTTTCAGGAAGATGTGCATTTATCTTTTTCTTGGAATTGCTTAAAAAAGAAAAAAAAAAAACGTGTTAAAATTATTGAACACCGGAGACGATAAAAATACCGATAAATATTACTGCTTTAGTATGTAATAGTTCTTCTACCGAACAGCAATTACATCCTGCGTATTTACACACAATACAGTAATTGATCGATGCATGATAATTCGAATTAGCAAGTAATAAATGAAACCGTTCATCGACCAAGCGATAGATCGATAAGTCCCATGTAACAATGAGTGTCGTGAACGATATATCGTCACGAGTTCGGAGAAGGAACTTCGACAGAAAAATTCATATCTCGTTCTCAGGCATAACATTGTCAACGGATTACTCTTAATATATCGTCGAAACTTGCACGTGACTATTGTCTATTACGTCTATTGGTCGATCAGTTCGATTGTGCCGCGAGGTACGACGAGTTCGCGGTCGATAGGTATCCTCAGGAGATTCCACCAGTGTGGTACTTCAGGAAGACAACGTGACAAAGTGTGCAGTGGCGGGTCGGACCAGTCGTTTGTCCTTTGCTCGTCCGCCGAAAAATCGAACGCATATATATCGAATATATCGAGAGTGGAATATCGATGGCGTCCCAGGCTGGATCCACGATTCAAGCTAACCTCAATGATTTCTCCAAACAGAGCCGGATGAAAGTAGCCGCCCAACACAAAGGTAAGCTGAATTCTTTTCTTTTGTTTACCGCGTTGTTTGTTTATTGTTGTTTATTGTTGTACAATAACCTGGAAATGTTTCGTCAAACGTGTATATATATATATATATTTTTTTTTTATAAAATGCGGTGCAGAATAGAAGCGAGTAACGGTTTCTCGTTGATGTTCGATAAATAAATAATCACTATTTTATGTCGATGTTGTATACATGTCGTTCGGGTATTTATAACCCAGGTTACAAGAGCACCCTAGTTAGAAGCTTCGGACATTGGCAGAGATTTTTCAGTTAGATGAATTTAATTATTTTTTTCTTTTCAAGTATACGTATATACCGATTGTGTTTGATTATTCTTATCGGGAAGTTCGTTTTTGAAATCTTGGATATATCTGAAGGTACTGTCGCAACGTTATATGGTATTTCACAAGCAAAAGGCTAGTAATATTGTGAAAGTGTGTAGGTGGAGTTTTTTTTTTTTTTTTGCTGCAATGAAAGTGGGCGAATTTTATCTTTCTGTTGATTGCATATAAGCTTTATCTATTAGATTATCTTGGTTCTAATGTACTTTATATATATTTTGTATGTCATCCTTGGTGACATAATCACGTGAAACAGTGATTTTTTTTGAATAAAATATCGCGCTTGGAATGGAGTACGAAAAAAGACACGATCGTATATAAAGATTAAAATTAACAAAATAGTTATATGAAATAAAAATTTACATTATAAACAATATTTACATTATAAAAAAATTTACATTATAAACTAAATTAACATTATAAACAAATTCATAATAAAAGTTAGCAGTAACGAAACGATACTAACTAAATGAGACTAACGAAAAACGCATATAAAATAGAAATTTGTTGATAAAGTAACATTTCGGACAAAAGTCAATAATAAAGATAGGAAGATTAATGAAAAATAATTACACAAAGGGAGAGGTTAACTAAAATAGGACACATAAAATAGAAATATAAATTAATTAAAATAAATAATAAAATAATTAAATAATAAAATAAATAATAAATAATAATAAATAAAATTAATTAAAATAGAAATATAGATTAATAAAATGACATCGAAATTGGAAAATTTGCTGTACTTGTCGCAAAAACAAAAAAAAAAAATTGAAAAATTATCACGCAAGGCAGAAACAATATAATATACAAAATAAATAAAAGTCCGTCAGTAAAACAATATCGGAATTCGATGTACTCGTGGCGAAAATCAGCAATAAAGATAGAGAGTTATTAAACCTTGACCTATTGCCGAATTAACCACGTATAGATTCGCTTCCTTCCTCTTCATCCTTTATTCATAGATTCGGTATATACGTGTACCGAGGAGTTCAAAGCGACATCACGCTCCACTTGGTATTCCCGAGGTCGGTAATAGTTTGAATATAAATTTTGTTTAAATAACAATTCACGTGGGGAGGAAGCACGCCGTGTCTTCACTAATCGACAAAAGTCCGTCTAAGAGGATTGGATGCATCACCTGGCAAGAGACCCGCACAGTGTTCGTAAGAACGTACTGTTTAAACGTGAAGCAATAAAGCAGCCTTTCAACGGGTTTCTATGATGTTTCCTCGGATTATAAATCTAGGAGTTTCTAATAGTAGGAGTCAGATCTAGAGTTAAGCCTCCAAGCAAATTTAATACGTTAATAACTTGAAATCTTGATCGGTGTTGATGCTCTTTTAATCGAAGATACTTAAGTAGTTCTTTATCACGAAAGAAATTTCCTCTTCTTGGAGTAATATGAATGTTGGAGTAACAAAAAAGATAATAAATGATAATAAAGAAATAGCACACATACTTGTTGAGAAAGTGAGAATATTTTAATACGTTACATTTGGAAGAGGAGAGAATTAATATCAAGTATAAAGATTCAAAATTAATGGTCATATAGCCTGATATAATGATAAGTCACATTTTTCGCCTTTAGGGTAGTTTTAAAATTTAACATGTTACCGATCAGTTTTACATCTAAAACTTTTCATTTAATTCCGACAGTAAGTATATATATATATATATATATTTTTTTTTTCATTTTCTTAAACATTTAGAAAACATTAATAATATCAGTTGCGCAAATTAACATCAATTAACATAAAAATTAAGTATGTATTATTCGTTCTTTATGTGACGATTTGTATCTTTTTAATTTATCAGATTTATTATTTTTTTCAACTACTCCTATTTTCACTTTCAACAAGATCAGAAAATTGACAAAAATTAAAAACTTATCATATTGTTTGTGGTCTTCATATGTGATTGTTTCAGCAATACGTTTCATAGAATGTTGTTCTATAAAAAATACTTCCCTGTAGTATAGTATTGTATCTAAATATTTAAAGGATATGTACGTACGTACATATACTCTGTACTCACGTGCCGTATAAATGTTTTTTTAATATCTCTTCCCCTCAAGTGAGCGTCTGATTCCATATAAATGTGAAAATTTTCAATATGACGCGGACAGACTACCGACTTTCTATTTTAAGATTAGTCTAATCTGTCGTTGGCATACTCATCGTAAACAGAGTGCAGAGTCCTTCGCGCAATGCGTTTCATTACGAGTGTCGCGACTGCATGTATGTATATGTATGTATTACGCTTTATCGCTTAACTTATTTCATAAACAAATATCTTGTCCGGCGTACTTTGATAGAATAACAGGTTATCCTGAACATCATGAAGCACATCATACTGTAATATAATAAAATATAAAATAATAATAAAATATGAAAAATGATAAAATAACAGGTTATCCTGAACATCATGAAACACATCATACTGTAATATAATAAAATATAAAATAATAATAAATATAAAAAATGATAAAATAATAAAATATGATAAAATAACAGATTATCCTGAACATCGTGAAACACATCATACTGTAATATAATAAAATATAAAAAATGATAAAATAATAAAATATGATAAAATAACAGATTATCTTGAACATCATGAAACACATCATACTGTAATATAATAAAATATAAAATAAT